TACATGAAATAACCCCCATATAGCATACATGAATCACCTCGTAGCAGATCTATACAGGTGGAGCTGGGGAAGGTGGAGGGTTTCGGAAGCAAGCTGCAACTGCTACGGCAAGCACTAGTCATATATTTGAATGTTGAGCAGCGAGCTCATTGGCTACGATACAGGAGAGAACCAATCAGCTGTGCCATGTGATATTGATGTCATTAGGTCAGATTGAGTTAGACCTATTGGACTGCGCCATCTAGAGTTTCATGCCAGAACTCTGTATTTTTCAGAGGTGTGCTCTGCCCTAAATTTGACACGCCCCAAAGCAGTGGCGTTGCCAGCGGCACTGAGCGCAGATTTGATGATGTAGTGGAAACGGAAAAAAGTTGAAAAAAAAGCAACTCTGAGCAGAAAAGCACCCAACGTCATTCGGGTTTTTTTTCCATTGTCCAATCGAATGAATGGAGAGGCGGGCCTTCCATTGTGGTGATGAAAGTTTACCGTTGCTTAGAAAGTCTGGAGAATGCAATGATGGAGGAGAAACTTTTGGTGTCTGTCGCGGGTTACCAGGAGCTGTATTTTTTAAGGTTTTTGCTAATATGACAGTTTACTTAACAGCAAAAAAACAAAGATGTTAGAGCGCTCGCGCTGTAGTCCTTTGATTAGACTGACAGGACAGCTGATTTGGTGGTTGCCTAGCAACATAAAATACTGCAGCACACTGATCTTTTTTAAAAGTCACCAAAAAAAAAGGCAGTGCGCTGCGCCTCCTCGCATTTTCAGACCTAAAAAACATGTTCCGTCTGATAGCCTTATGTAGCATAATTTGTCAGAACAAGTCAATTTGCTTCAAATGCATTTTCTGTACAAGATGCATTTTCTGCTGGAAACATGCTGATATTTCTTTAAAAAAAATAAAAAATTCCGTGCAGGTCAACCAGACGCACCACGAGTGTGACGCAGGGCCACCCGGAGACCCCTTACGGCTGGCTTCGCTTCCCGACTACACGCTGACTCTGCGACGCTCGCCTGACGATATCCCGCTCATGACGCCCAACACCATAACCATGATCCCCAACTCGCTGGTGGGCATGCCCAACCTACATCCGTACAACACCTTCACAGCTGGCTTCAACTCCACCGGCCTGCCACACTCCCACTCCACCACGCGTGTATAGCTTTATGGCCATCCGACAAGAGGGAGGGATGGGGGAAGAGTCTTTGGCTTCAATGAAAACACTGATGTGAGAGGAGGGGGTTCAGGACGATGGCGGAAACGAAAAGATTTGAATAGACTTTTGCAAAAAGCAGTGACAAGTTCTTTCCAGATGTCAAGTTGTGCAAACCTGCCAAAACAGAACTGCTCTCTTTCCTTTGAAAAGGGACGAGCGTTTCAAGCAGTATTTTTTCTAATCATCGTTTTAAAAGAGAAGAAAGAAACGGCTTTTTAAGCAGAATCGGGCGAATGGAGCGATCACTTTTTGCTTGAATAAATAACAAAAAAACAAAGGAAAGTGCATTTTATTTCCCATCACAGTCTTTTGTGGGGAACATGTTTCAAAACAATGGCCTCTAAGGTGACATCTGCATTATATTGTTTGCTTTGCTTTTCGATTTCTTTTCAATGCCTTATAAAGAGCTGTTTTTTCACTTAATTTGACTATCTTTTCCTGAGATGTGTCTGTGTGGAACATAGCGATCTGACTCGAGTGGTTGGATTCCAGGAAGCATTAGACAGACGACAAATATGGAAACGGTGGATTGAAATGGTAACTGCAACTCATTTTCCAGTTGCATAAGCTCACATGTGGTGTTTTAACTTTTTTTCTTGGTTCCACTGAAAGTCTTTTGTTGGAAACTTTTCCATTGGACAAGACTGGAGATAAAGACTTTACTGTAAGAAGTTACTGTAAGTGTTTTGTTTAAAGAAAAGTGCATCTTTTACAACAAAATTATCTATCGGATCCTGTGTCAAATTCCCATGAAATGCACACGTACACACAATGCTCAGAGCACTGTTTGACTGGTGTACTTGTGTGAGAGATTCTGGGTGTGAATGGGAATATTTGAGTTGAGTCTATGTGTGTGTGTGTGTGTGTGTGTGTGTGTGTTAAATTGCCTTTGCCATGTTTTCTGTTATATATTTGTGTAATGGGGGGGGCTTCTTTACCACTGCATTGATTTTGTTCACCACAAGTAGTGTTTCAGCTGCGTCTATTGTCGTCTGTCTTTGCGAAATATAACTTTTTGTTATTTTAAAAAAAGTTACATATGTCTAATTTTGCTTAAGAATTACAAAATAAATATATTATTTTACATGCAAGAGAAAACAATAGCTTAAGATTGAACTAACTGACATGATTCCATTGACTTTGTAAGCGTTCCTCTCGACTGGAGACAGTGGCCTCTTTACACTGAATAACCTGACTTCAGTGTAGACCTGTGTTTCTTTAAATATATATATAAATATGGGCATACATACATATATGTATAGGGCTTTTATGAAGATTTTGCTCAGTAGCCATTGACCTGAAAGTGTAAATGACCATTATTATCAATTATTAGGCTGAAAGCACCAATATACAGAGGGCAGAGCAGTTAGTGTCTGTACTAGTTTTATCCTCTACTACACCATAATCTGAGGCCACAACAAGTGTCTTTTTAATAGCTCTATATGTATATTTATGTATAAATATATTTAATATTTATTTATGTATACCAGATGTATACATGCTGATTGTGCCATGTGCCAAATTAAACCATAAAACTGGAGAAGAAAACGGTTTCCAAAAAACGTTATTTTATTTATAAGTTTTATTTTTGCACAACTCCATCACAGTTAAATGCATATTTCCTATCTGATCTTTGTTGCTTAACATATGAGGATTTTTTAAATGAAATTATGGGTGGAATTCAAGGTAATATGTTAAATCAGAAATCTGTACCCCAAGTCATTTTGTAGTATGATTAGCACAAAAAATGCTAAAATACCCCTTGAAAACTCCATTTTGCAAACATGTACAAAGTTAATGTACACAAAAAAAAAAAACTCTTAAGTGACTCAAATATCCAACATTTCATAATGAGTAATCCTGTTCAGCAAAGCGTTTGAAGAGACAGGTGTGTAAATTATCTTTATAATTACACACCTAGCACTGCATAGCATCATTTCAGGCATTGGAAAGCCTTTATGGTTGGAAACTGGAGTTATGATCAAATATGAATATCCCCACATCCAACATGGATTGCAGCGACAAAAAAAAACTACAATTTGTATTTCTTTCAGGTATTTGAATGAGGGGAAGTTTGTTAGGACTACAACCCAATAGCCTCCAGCATCAGGCTCGGGTTTTGAGACGAAGCGGCCTCTGGTTTCAGTAACACTCTTGTCCTGTTTGACTTTCATCAAACCCTGCCACTCTTCCTCACAACAATCACCAGCTCCACGGCATGCACATTTATCTACAATTCTGACCTTAAAAGTCACATAAAACCCTCTTTTAAATCAATGTCTCATCTTCATGTTCAGCCTGGTTCACTGCTGTTCAACGTTTGGGTGTATTAGGCCCGAAACATGAAGCAATAATGTGAATGCAAACTTTAAAAGGGCAACAAACTCTACTTCATAATGCGTTTAGCTGTAATGAAGAATTAATACTATGCCTCAGTGGTTGAAAAGCTCTTGAAACTAGGTTTGAATTAGACTTCAACAGAACTCCCAGAACCTGAGTCATCAGCAGATGAGAGTATTTATTACTCATGTGGCTGTTTAAGGATGTTTTGATGGCAGCTGATTCATCGCTCATATTCAGCTTTCGATCCCTGATTGACTGAAGGAATGTCACAACATACATCACGGAAGTCTCGCAGGAGCAGCCGGGTTTCCTCGGATGAGCGTGCTGCAGACGGGGGTTATATTACAGACGGCACGGCTATGAGCAGATAGAAACTCTGAGACCCTTGGGGCCACATGACAGACACCTGCTTCAATATCTACTGACTAAAGTATTTGGGTGTCACGCTAAAGCCGAAGAATAGGCATAAATATGATATTAAACGAGTTTTTAGGCTGTGCAGTGAAGCAATTTAATTGTAGCTTTGTTCGCTTGAGCGTGTACCTGCCGTTGAGGAAATGACTTTAGCTGCTAGGCTGGAAGCCACGGTGCATAACATCTTCTCTTCTGTGTCTTAAGTGCTTCTCTCATAAATCAAATGATTTTTCGCGCTCTCCTCTGCTGCTCTGCTCCTCTGGCGGCCTCTCTTACTGTAGCTCTGAAAGGAGCTAATGCACGGTAGAAATGAATATGACGTTTCCATTAATTAGATGGACCATTTTCTGATTAAATGAATTATTCTTGTAGTAACATCTACATATATTACTGCGTTTATCGTTTGGGAATATTAGAGCTTGATAATGAACACACACGGTTTCCTCATGTCTGACTCCATAGTCACTGCTAACAGAAACACACCAGGTTTTATATTGCTTTGTTTGGACCTGTTAATATGGATCAGAAGTGTTGCTAGGTTTTTGACAGTGTTGTGGAGTAACTAGTTACATGTAACGGAATTACATAATTTAATTACAAAATAAATGTAACTGTAATCTGTTACAGTTCCTGAGAAAAATGTTAACGATAACACAAAGGGGGTTACATTTGAATATTTTCACACACATATAGATTTGATTAACTTCTTTCCCAAATTTCATTGACTGCTTTAAAATGTGAGACACCAATGTTTCAGGAGTTAATAAGACGCTTAACTGTTTTATTTCCTCTTTGGGTTTATGTATATGCTTTATTTTTTTAAATTAACTTTTTTTTAGATGCCGGTGTTTGCTGTCAAAGATTTGATTTCAAAAACAGTATCATAGCTATTAAGCGGTTTCTTGTTCTGATTTTAAATCTGTATTTAACCTCAGAGTGATCTCAAAGTGAAAAGAGCTGCTAAAGTCTGATTTTGTGGTGGCAGTGCTTTAAAATTAAATGATTATAATCTTACTTCAAGTAAGTAATCAGTGTTGAGTGCTACTGTAAGGTTAACCGTGCCTGCTTTACAGTACACACTAATTGCACGCACAAGGTAATACACATTAAACAGAGCTAATAGCACATGCTCTAAGGTGTTAAGAAGCGATCTCAACCATTACAAGCTAACAGCGCATTTTAATCTTATTAACCTTATGTGCTGTGCCAACCCGACTGCGACAGCTGCACGCAAACAATAAAATGAGCTTGCAGGTAATTGCATGCAAAGGAAGGAGAATAATTGCATGTTTGAATGTTGCATATTAATTGAAGACCGTGAAGCGGTCATATAGAACTAATGCGTGTTGAGTGATGTGTGGATGTAATAATTGTGAATGACTTCCCATCGTTTGAATCTTATCTTTTATTGAAAACAGGACCCAAGAGTGGGGATTTTTAAATGAATCCATCCATTCACCACCAGTATCTGTATTCGGTTAAAGCGTTTTACCCATTATTGTTATTAATTTTAATATTAAATAAATCATACAAATACAAATGATAATAATGATAAAATCAATGAAGCCCCGCATACATCATTAGAGGAAAGACTGTTGAATTTAAAAAAAAAAAAGGATTAAACTATACAGTCAAGACATTTTTTAATAATTGAGAAAACTTGCATTTAGAAAACTAAAAAGTAAAAGCTAAAAGCTTTAGGCTAAATACTAAAGTCTAAATGTGAGGTATATTTGAATATGGCTAGCGTATTCTTGTCAACACTATTTCCAAAAAGCACCAGTTTGTTTTGAAATCAATTTTGCTATTTTCTGAGGCGTTCAGAAGAAATGAATAACAACTTTTCCATTTTAAATTCGGTTACACTTTATTTCGATAGTCCACTTTAGACATTCTATTAACTACAAGTAACTTTGTAACTACATGTCAACTACATGTCAACTAATTCTCATTAATTTGCATTTACATGTCTACTAACTAATTCTTTTCATTAGTTGCTGTTAGTCTCTTTATATCAGCTGCACATCTCATCATGACCAGGCTTCTTCAGCAATCTCCTGCTCTTTCTTTCATTACCTTCAGATGATGTGCTGTCTTTTTTTTCTTCAGAATAAACGGAGTGAGATTTAATACCCTGAATAGACTATCCTGACCTCTGTGCTATTATGCTAAAGAACAAATATCATTATCATCATGTCATTATCTCTAGTTCCAGTTGCCTTAGAGCCGATTTGAGCAACTAAAGTCTAAACCCTAAATGAGATCTATAGAGGGCACATTGAAAAGAAATGAATTTGGCCTTAAGCAACGCTATCCTCAAGTGGTGCTCTCTTAATTCATTACATTTTTACTAAATAGTAACAAGTGGTTTTAATATCCTTTGTGTTTTGAACTAACATATGTGACCCTGGAGCACAAAACCAGTCATAAGTAGCACAGGTATATTTGTAGCAATAGCCAAAAAAAACATTGTATGGGTCAGACCCTTATGACTGGTTTTGTGGTCCAGGGTCACATATGGTTGTAGTTAACAGCAGAAAAAAATCTGCTGAGGTCTTGTCTGCACATCCGTTGTTCAAGTTCACATGATTAGATATGGTTTGATTGTGTAGTCTTAGGGTATACGATCTCATAATATGCCTCACTGATTTTATTGCAGGCTTTTCAGACGTTTAAGATCAGTTTAGGCATCTAAGAAGCTAAAACGAGCTTTCTGTTGATTTCAATTATTTTGGATGCATCTAAATTTGGAATCGGAGCAAGGTTAGCATGCAAAAATAACACCCCTGTGCTTTTTATTCCTCAAAAATAATCTGCTACAGAACACAGACTTGTATAAAGCATTTAATAACATTATGTGTACATATAGAGCACCAATTAACAGAAATGTAGTGTGTTCTATAAAAGCATAATGGCTGATTGCACATAAAACCATGACTGACATTGTTATTTAGGTTTAAATTCATGCTTATGTAACCCCCGGTTGAATGACGTGTAATTGAAGGGAATTGTTTAATTTATTCACAGTTTGGTAACATCATATTTCTCTTATAAAAGTTGAAAAGAGGTGTAGAAGTTATTAAAGAACATTTAAAAATTAGTAAATTTATCCTATTTAGAAGATTAGTTATTGACCAATGAGAGCTCTCTGTCGTTGCGTGCCCTGCGTGGTGACGAGCATGCGCAATGACAGAAGAGATTAGCCTGACAGAAGAAAAGACGTGAAAGCTGAAGGGATTAAAATTCCAAATTCCGTAATAGTCAGTGGCTTAACTGAAACTAGAAGTGATGACGAATTATTTAATTCTCTGAAACAATACGGGTCAATTGTCAAAACCGTGCGCATCGATGACAGAGAATCTGAGTTTTACCGAAACGTGATAATTGAGTATGACAGTGATCGAGCGTTGCAGTCCCTAGGACCTCAATTGCCATATATTCACCAGCTATCAAGCGAACCAGGTATTAAGTGCCATGTGAGAGCGTTAGCCAGTGTGTTTACGCAGAAACTGGGTAGTAGCATAACCAAGTCCTACCTAGAAAGGTTGAAAGAAATAGCAGAGCTGAGTGGAAACAACTTTGAGTCTATTCTGAGTGAAATGCTGTCACAAATGAGTGCTGACCTCACACCAGGACCCACTGAACCTCAGACATCTTGGTAATCACCGACTTCTTTGCCAAGTACGCTGTGGCAGTCCCTACACCCAACCAAAAAGCAAGAACGGTAGCGAAATGCCTTTGGGAGAACTTTGTTGTGCACTATGGGTTCCCTGAGCGCCTTCATAGCGATCAGGGCCCAGATTTTGAATCACGCACCATTAAAGAGCTCTGTGAAATGGCAGGTGTTAAGAAAACTCGAACAACCCCTTACCATCCCAGGGGAAACCCTGTCGAACGCTTCAATAGGACCTTGCTCAGTATGTTAGGTACCTTAGAAGAAAAAGACAAGACTCATTGGAGAGATTTTGTAAAGCCATTAGCTCATGCGTACAATTGCACGAGACATGAGGTTACTGGGTTTACTCCATATGAATTGATGTTTGGGCGTCAACCCAGGTTACCTGTTGACCTTGCTTTTGGATTGCCGTTTAATGATCTCCCACGTCAGTCTCACTCGGAGTATGTCAAGCACCTGAAAACCAATCTGAAAGAGAGCTATCTACTTGCATCACGTGGTATGTCAAAAAGTGCAGAAAGGGACAAAGCTAGGTTTGACAAATCTGTAACTCATTGCTTTTTGGAGATTGGTGATCGAGTGTTGGTAAGGAACGTTAGGTTACGTGGGAAGCACAAGTTAGCAGACAAGTGGGAGTCTGAGGTGTATGTTGTAGTGAATCAGGCAGCTGATTTGCCAGTTTACACAGTTCGTCCGGAGAGAAAGGACGGTCCTCTGCGTACTCTTCACAGAGACCTTTTGCTCCCTTGTGGATTTTTACCATCTCCAGAGGTTGAAACATCCACACTAAACAAATCCATCTCAAGACCTAGAACACGACAGAGTCCTGATGTTCCGTTAATTGATGACAACTCTCTTTCTGATTCAGAAGAAGGAAATTCGTATTGTGGGAACAATCATTCTCCAAATGTGGAGACATTTTTCTACATTTTTCTACAGTTCATGAAATCTGCAAAGAAAGAGAAACAATGTACGGTGATTCTGCTGATAACTCAGCCAAACAAACTTTTCCAAATGACGAAATTTTGCAAGGAGACCAGAGTGAATACTTACCTGTTGAACTTTCTGGCGACAACATACCTGTCAATGCTTTAGGTGAAAACATACCTGTCGATGTTCCTGGAGTCCCTGAAGAAAGTAACTTACCTGATAAAGGTCAAGTTGAAGTTGTAATGGGTAATTCTGTTGATAAAGGAGTTGAAGTAACCGGTGTTGTTGAGAATTCAGATTTTCCTGCAAAAGAAACAGGACAACACTCAGAAGATGAGATAGAAAACACAGATACTCTGCAAAGACGTTCTGTCAGGCAGAGAGAGAAACCAGAGCGACTTACTTATTTTCAGCCAGGAAACCCATTAATATATGTGGTTCAATCTTTGTTTCAAGGTCTGAATTCAGCTTTTGTTAAATCTCTTGGTGGAGATGAAGATCTGACCATCTTTCCCTTACTTACTAATGGTTCACATCTTTATGTCAAAAGGAACAATTACATTCCAAGTACAAATTTAACTTTGTGCCTGTCTGTTGTTTCTCACCACAACCCGCCACCTCCTTTACGATCTCTAAATCTTCTGATCCATTCAATTCCTTAGACACGGGTTACACATATCCTTAACATAAATTCTGCTTTATTTCTTTTCAAGCTCTTGTATTTTCTCTCTCATTTTTTTTTTTCCACCAAAGCATTATTATAGCACGGCACACAATTATTGAACATCATAAAATGCTCTCACCATAAAATATTTGAGCAATGCCGTATTCAAATTTCACAGATGACCGCTACTCTGTAAATTAAAATGACAAATAAATTTGTCTCATAAACAACGTTGTCTCGCGAGTGGATCGTTTTCATCAGCTCTCACCTCCCTGAAGCGTTTGCGTTTTCCCTTTTCTTATGTTCAGGAATCATATCTAAAAGCTATTGATTGCCATAAACAAAGAGCTGGAGTCAGATGGGTATGAATTTTTACTTTCTTACACTTCCAAAAAGAACACAGTGGCACAAAGAAATCACCCCCTGAAATCTATCTTTACTGAAGTCCAAACATATATTAAAATATGTGTCTTTAATCTAGATTTAAACAGAGAGAGTTGATAAGTATTGGATAACTAGTCAGCTATCCTGACCCTTCACTTTTCCTGACATGAAAATTATGCTGTTGGGAAGAATTGTACTCACATAGTACTTATGTCTTTAATTCTGTCAAACACTGTTATTCAAATAAACATCAAGCTTCTCTGAGCCTAATGACTCCAATAGGAGCAATTTCCAGTGTTTCACTATCACTTGAAATGATTTGCATTGAATATAATTTGGGTTTGGCTGAATGAACAAATTATGGCTATTCAATCTTCGACCCAGCCGTATTATTTTCACTGCTTGAGATCAGCACATACTGCAGAAACGGTTGCGGTAAAGCTGAGTCTTTGAAAGTCATCTAAACAGATGCTGGAGGTCATAGACTTCTTTTCTCAGAAACACTTTGAAAGACTTTCAAAAATTGTTACGCAGAAGGGAATTTCCTGTGGCTGTATGGGCCTATGTGTGTTTGCTCCAGATTGTGTGTGGGTTTTTGATGTGTGTGTGTGTGTGTGTGTGTGGTCAGGCTGCTTGGGAGTTCTGATATACCGCTGTGGACCAGTGCCAGGAAGGAACAGCCAGGCAACCCTCATCAGCAGGCCAAAACTCTTCAGTACAGCGGCACGGTGCCCAGCCTTCACCCCAGACGCTCCACTTCTGATTAGGCTTTCTAAGAGCAGAGCCATACTCATCTCATTTTCTATCTCTCTCCTACTCTTTCCAACCGCTACGACCCAACAGAAGGCCCACCACACTCAAGACTAACACACTCTTGAACCTCATTTGAATTTATTTGTTTACTTATGGCTATTTAGGAGGCCATGAAATGTGTCCCAATTGGCTGACTTTTCATTTGAATCAGAACAATTAAATGGGATAGTGTGGTGTCGTGGTTAAGGTTCTGGTAATTAGAAGGTTTCTGGTTCAATCCCTTCATTCCCATCCAAAGGTGACTGTCCTTGTATTTAGTTCCAGTCTAATGAAATTAATGTGTTTTGTAGCTCAGCAGGTAAAGCATGTCTTTATCAATGCTATGGTTTGATAGTGCCTCGCTAACAGGTGAGGTTTCCCTACCAGTACATCATATCAATGAACATGTTCAGTGACAAGTATTGATCCAAGTTACTGAGATCACAGCTCTGGAATGCATGTGTTCCTCCAGGGAGAATGGAACAGTTGGAGCCATAGCCTAGCTGTTTGCACCAGTGCTGAGAAAACTACTTTTGCTTGTCAAACTACAAGTTTAAATTCATAGTTTGAAGTCGGCATGAGTTCAGTCTATTTTCTAAATGCTATTGATTTTATTGTGAATGATTCGTCCAAGACTTTTTAATTAAAAACAAAATCGTAATCAAAATGTCATAATTCAGTCTACCGGTGAAATGATTTCTCTCTGGTTACATATGCCGGACTTCTACAATCATTTCATTAGCATAAACCCCAACCCTTTCTTAAAAAGGACTATAAACTTGTATGTAGACCTGTCTCCATCCAATCAACAACTGATGGACTGAACCAAGACCCCACCTTACATTTTTTGGTAACACTATTTTGATAGTCCACTTTAGACATTCTGCTAACTTTAAGTAACTTTGCAAATACATATCAACTACCAGTCATTAGAATATTAGTAGACTGTCTGCTTAATATCTGCTAACACTTTATTTTGATGGTCCCACAACAGACATTCTCCTGACTATGAGTATAACTTTGCAAGTATGTCAGCTTATTCTACTAACCATAACCCTAACCTAACAGTCTACTAATACTCTAATTAGAGTTAGTTGACATGTAGTTGCAAAGTTACTTATAGTTAGTAGAATGTCTAAAGTGGACCATCAAAATAAAGTGTAACCCATTTTTTTCTTTTTCAGTAATCCATTTCACAATATATAAATCTGTTGGTACATCAGTTTCATTTAAATTTTGATTGTTAAACTAGCAGTCAAGCTACCGTTTTAATATAAGTAGGTAGCTACATTATTACTTTTGCTAATAAAATGTAGCTAAATACATTGAAGTTTATGGGGGCAATATATGTTTTTAAATATACTGTATAACTGTTTTTTTATTTTGTAGTGTGTAATCAGAGCATGGCACAATAATAATAAGGAAGAAAAATGAACTTGTTATCCCTTTGAATTAAGTAAGCCATTACACTTAGATATACATCACAATACAGAAAAAAAAGATTATCACAATTTCCATTTCATGCCAACCTTAAAGTCACTTTTTAAAATAATGTTTATATATTTATACTGGGAAAACAACACAAATGAAATATGACTCCCATGATAAATCAAAGAAACACTGGATGCTTATGAAAGTTACACATTGCATTTATATGAATTGTTTTTAGAGAAAAAAAAGACAGCAGCAAATGATGTGAAAATGAATAGGAACCGAGGTGGAGATTGGATCTTGACGTTGCAGGGTTAGCATGCAGCTCTCTGCTGGGTGTGGATTTATGGGCGAGCAGAGGAGCTCCAGGCCTTGATTAAATCCATGACCTTCACCACTCACACAGGCAATCAAGGCGAGGATAAATTCATCATTGCATTGATCCATCAATTGAATTGCGTTTCCGACACTAGCAATGGCTTGACCTCGGCGGCCAGCAGGATTGTCTAATTTGCTCGCGGTGCAGATTGCTAACGCTCTCGCCTTAACTGCGCCGTGAATTTACGTCTCTACCCCTGAGACACACCATCATGAACCACCTCCCTCCCACCAACATCCCCTCAACGAGTGCCAAGCAGCAAAGCAATCAAATAAATATGCCCTTTCCAATTCATTAACATTCACACAGCCTCCGAATTTACATACATTAGAATATGCAGAAACCCTGTGTGGTGTTTTTTATTGGTGCCTTGAGCTAGAGTGATGCTAAAGTCGTACTTGCCACCTTCATCTACTCCTCTATGCACTCCTTCTCTCAGGCCTGTGTTTGTGAAGACACTTCGCATTTGTAAATGGGTAAATGGCTGAATTCCTCCTCACGTATTTCACGCGGTTCCTAAGAGGGGCCAAGAAATTGGGTCATCCATTGGGGCTTTGAGGCAAACAAATGAATGTGAGAGGCAGATGTGAAAAAGATGGGAAAGAGAAAGAGAGATAGTTAGAAAAGAGAAAGTGAGATAGCTGTTTTCCCTTTCAGAAATGTCCACATTTGGAGAGGAGAGTCAGGTTGCCGGTTTCTGGTTTGTAAACATATTCGTGGTGTACTCTGAGGCAGGGAAATGTTGGAATTTGAATCCAGGTTTTCAAGGATGTGTTTTGGTTTTGCAAAGTCCTTTAGGGACGCTCTGCTACAAGAAACTATTTGTAATTCCGGCACTCGGGCTCGTTTTTCTCCACTGGTTATTTAAGTCCATGTTGACTGACCCATTTTTACAGAAAACGGGATGCTGTAACAACTCTGAAAAGGAAAAAGGAATGTGTATCTACAGCTGAAGTGTGTACTTTCTGAGCCTTTTAAAAAAAAGAATAACAAAAATAATGACTGTTTATAAACAGGTTACTCAAATGCAGTCTACCATTGGTCAGCCAAACAGTTAGTCATGTCCCAAGCTCATCCTATTCGCTTCTGATGACAGCTGGTTTTACATGTTTTTCTGTTGGCCAAGCTGTTCATTTATATTCATTTATATTCTATATTCTACAGATATTCTTTAAAAACTGGTCTACTTTAAGCTGGTATGACTTGTTTTGTTTTGTTTGTTTGTTTTTGTTGTGGTTTAATTTAGTTTAGTTTTTTTTTGTTTAGTTTCGCTTTGTTTAGTTTCTTTTCATTTAGTTCCATTTACCTTTGTTTTTGTTGTTTTTTTTTCATGATGTGTTGTTTTGTTTTCTCTTTTCATTGTATGTTTTGTTTTGTTTTCCAGGAGTGCTCTGTGAAGCTTTATGTCTAACATTTCAGTCTTCATGTTTCTGTTTTGCAGCCTGCGGGCCGGGTACCTACAAGGCCTCTTCCATGGACGCCTACTGCACCAAGTGTCCTCCTAACAGTTTCTCCCATCAGGAGAAAGCCTCTGAGTGCTCCTGCGAGAAGGGATTTTACAGAGCTGACATGGACCCGCGGTCAATGGCCTGTACCCGTGAGTGATCCAGGACTACACCAATAAATCTATGTTAGATAGATTATGCATGAATGTTGATGTGCAGAGAGATCCATGGTTGGATGAACTGATGGAAAGAGGGATGAATGGATAGGTGGAGGTAATTAGGAATGCATAAATGTACATTATAAGTGTATGGATAATAGTGGGTGGCTGGATTGGTGGATGGGTAGATGAATGGATGAACTGATGGAAAGAGGGATAAATAGATGCATAGATGAATAAAATTATGGAAAGTTGGTTAAATAGATAGTTCTAATTATGCATGGATGGACGGATGGATGGACAGACGGCAGATGCATGAAAAAATGGATGGATGGAGGACAGATCGTTAATAAGAGAAGGCTGGAGGCTGTTTTCCTTATTTATTCTTATAGACTGGGCTCAGTACATTTTCACCTCCATCACTGTCTCATCATCATGCATCATGTCAGATTGGACGTTTAGCGCTGTGTTTACAAGGCTGGTGAGGTCACCTTATATAGACCAGAATAGTGAGTCATTGCCTATATATATGTGTATGTGTGTGAGTGAGAAGGGTGGAGTAATGAAAGAGAGAAAATAAAGAAAGGAATAAGAAAGAAAGAACCCAATACGACAGATTCTAATTAAAGGACTCATTCATCTGATAAGGCAAATCATGCGTGCAGCTAAACATATGGATGTACTTAATGACCTTCAGTTGTAGTACATCATACACACACACACACACGCGCACTCTGCTTGCAGTGAAATTAGACTGTTTATACTGTATATGAAAATCATGTGCCAGCAAATAAAAATGATGTGCTAATGTGATTACTTAGAAACCAGCTGTAAATCACACACATGCATGTGTCAACAACATCACATTCAGTTTATGTGCATGTCTTAACTTTTACACCTCAAACGGGACTATGTATTTTTCATGCCCACTTTGGAAATTTAATTCACATCTTAGTGTTTCCATCCAGCATTTTTTTGTGCAGTATCCCAAAATGTTTGGAAAATCTGTTTGAAAACAGCCATTATGCTATTATGCTCATCAAGGTTGCATTTATTTGATCAAAAATACAATATAAACAATAATATTGTTGAATATTATTCAAATTTAAAGTAGCTGTTCTCTATTTTAACATATTTTAAAATGTAATGTATTAACTGAATTTTTAGAAGCCATTACTCCAGTTTTCAGAAATAATTCTAATTATGATGATTTGGTATGATTTGGTGCTCAAGGCACATTTCAGTTGTGCTGTGAATATTTTTGTGCAAACTGGGATATATTGTTTTAGGGTTCTTTGATGAACAGAAATTTCAAAAGAATAGCATGAAATGGAAATAGGTATATTTTAATGCATCCTTGCTAAACAAAATGATTAATTTCTTTGTTTAAAATCATATACTTCACTTTTAAATAACGGAAAATAAATATGTTCTAATCATTATTCTAAATTTGTTTGTACACAATTTGATCAGGCCCTGTTTTGACCCGTAAAAGAACACACTCTCTTTAATCTCAGGGGCTGGAATGATCTTTAGGTTGTGCAACATATAGACTTCTTCATCCACAGGTGACCACAAACACACACTGATCTGTGTCCCGGAGGAACCCTCCCTTTCCACCAGCAGCTAGTAGCTCTGGTGAAATGTCATCACCACAGACATTAAAACTCCTCCACACTGATCCCCCGTTTCCTCTGCTTCATTTGCTCTCTCTATCATGAAGCTCTCTCTCAGACTCTTCAAACCCTTTGAGCAGTGAAAGCAACCATCACTCTCTAGGAACAGAGATGAGTGTGTTTGATTACTTTGGCTTTGCAAAACAATTTGTGTCCGTGTGGAATATGTGCATTGGCTGATCTTCCTATCTTATTCTCTTTCCTTTGGGCTGTATTTTCCTGTTTTCATCTTGCACACTCATATGGGAACTTATTTCAGTGACACCCTGCTGAACGGAGTAGTGTTAAAAAACCTTTACTGTAGTTGTGCATAGTTGCAGGTTTTAGCAGACTATTAAATAAAAGACCCCATGGCAGCACTATCCAGCACCCCACAACCTGTTCAGACCTCTCATTATCATGCCCTCCTTCGAATGAATGTTACCCTTAATGCACTGCATCATGGCAATATGGGAAGCATTTAGTGTTAAAGTTCCAGCTAAACAGCACAGGAACACCTCTAGGTTTTTCTTCATATGTATTTGTTCCTCGTTGTCTCAGTTGGTGTGCTTGCTTTAGTGAGTGCTGCACAGTATGTGTGTCCTATTTCTGGTTGGCAAAAATGAAAAGAAAGTGCAGGGGAAGTTGCTCAAGTGTAAGGGTTGTTTTATGAGCATTGTTTGCTTGATTTTACATTGACATTAAGATATAAATTTTACATCGCATGGTCACCCAAAGGAACCCCTTTTTTTAGGGTATTTATTACGATAAATATAATTATATTATAATAATTATAATCCTATTTGTGAATGTAGGTTTAAGTTCATGGGGATTTATGTCAATTTCTATGGGGAAATTGAATAATGTTGATATTAATTTAACAATAATAATTGATTTAATTTATTCATTAGAATACATATAATAATATTTTATAAATTTTATAAATAATATTTAATATAAATATTCATGCACATGATTGTTTGAGATTTTAAGGATTTATCTGTCAGTTTTTATTTATTTGAGTGATATTAACTGAATGATACTAATTAATTTTATGTTTTATATTTTTCCTTTTTATTTATTATAATAACTGTAAAAAAATTTAAATATAAAATATATATGCACAAATAATATGCTTAAAATTGTAGAGATTTCTATATTAATTTCTTTGGAAAAATTGAATGGGATTTTTACATCTGGATCCCAGCTGTTGTTCTCTATAAGAAAACTGACTTAAAAATTCATAAATGAATCTGTGCTTTTATTTGCCAAAGATGCGTGATCAATCAATCTAAGATATGAAACAAACACTGGACTAAATATTGTGATATTCTGAATCATAATTACCAAGTAAATACACCAAAAAGTTACGGAAAGGTGTTTTATCCTCTTTTAAAATGTAATAAACCTATTATTTATTTAAATCTTTATTTAAACATACCTTTTTTGGGTCACAACCCACCAGCCGAGAACCACCGGTGCAGATTCATACAGCCCAAACACAAACTGGATTTACAAACAAACTGAGCAAATTAAAAGCACACTCTTTCTGTATTTTCTCTCTTTTTTTGCTTCCAGGACCTCCATCTGCAGCCGAGAACCCCATCTCCACCCTGAACGACACCTCTGTGACTTTAGAGTGGAGTCCTCCCAGAGACAGCGGCGGCCGAGGGGACGTCACCTACAGCGTCCACTGCAGGAAGTGCGCCAGTGACGGCAAGACATGCAGCCCCTGCAGCAACAGCGTCCACTTTGTACCTAGACAGTTTGGTCTCTCAATCCCTAAAGTGTTGATCACGGACCTGCTGTCCAACACCAACTACACCTTCAGCATAGAGGCGGTGAACGGAGTGTCCGATCTGAGCCCGACCCCTAAACAACAAGTCACTGTCAACATCACCACCAGTCAGACAGGTACATTGTGTCTTTTCTTCCATGATAATGTTTAAATGTTGCTTGGTATCTATTTTTGTTGCATTGTGCCCGCAGTGAAATCTGATGGTTTAAAACCTAACATCATCTGACTGGATCTGACTGAAATGTTGTCACTTCATGCAGCATTTTGCTAGACTCATAAATTATTCAGTGTTCAAATGTTGCATCGTTTTGAACTTTGAATGCCAAAGCCGGCACAACGCTACCTGTTGATAAACTGGAAACCAGCATGCCTGAGGTAATTGTTTTTCTGTAAAGAGGTCCTCATTAGATTTCCATAAACATAACACACTCCAAATGATTTTTGTAGTCAATGTTGGTGTGTCTCTGTTTCAAGAGAGGTAAATAATGTCTCTCTTTTCAGATTTTCTCCCTTTCTTATTCAAAATGTTATACATCCCAAACCTTTACTCTTGACAGTGAAGGTTATCTTTTTTATTCAATGAGATCTCTCAAAAGCCTCCAGTGTTTGACAGCCCTTGAGTCTAGTGTGTGTTTGCGTATGTGACCTGGTCTTTGTGATGCAGCGTATTGTGAATTTTCCCCGGCGATGTTGCTCAGCTCAAGGTCCCAGCATTCGATATCGGACAAAGTAGAGGCTCGGTACAGCCAGAGGGTTGTTGTTCGACCAGATTGGCATTTGCAGATTCCCATCTCTCTCTCTCACACACACAACCTCTGTGGAAGTTCATAAGTTCATAGTAATCCAAATGCTCTAAATAATACATGTCATCGAATATGTTATCTAAAGTCAGGACACATGCGAAAATGTGCTGAAGACACAACTGCCCTCACAACTTCCTGTCTCACACCTCTGATGGGCTGACAAGGGTCATCAGTGCAGGCGTGTTCTCATTAAATGTGTGTTTGTGAGTGTGTATACGGTGGTTTTGGGCCTTGTGTAAGGCTCCGGTTGAGGTATTAAATATGTATGAAGGTGTTCGGGCTGTAGAGGGAAGCTCTTGAGCAGAACGGGCACATGCTGAGAGAGAAGCGCTTAGTGTCGGAACAGGGTCAAAGATCCCAATGATTTATACATTCAGCCACGTCAAAGCATGAACCAACATGAATCCAAATATTATATAGTTTAGAGCAATTTAGGAATTAATGCTTCTCATAAAATGCACATTTAATGGCACACTCTTCAGAATAAAACTTCCACAAAACGTTTTTTTTTTTTTCAGCCTGATGCAATGGGAGATGCATTTTAAATTACCACAAGTAACTTTTATTTATTAATTTTATTTTGTTTATTTATTTCATAATTTGTTACTTTCTAGTTCTTTAGACAGCTACGTAGTTTATATGTACTAGTGTTTTAAAACACAGCAAGCAAGAGCAAATCAAGAACCAAATTAATAATCAATTTAAGAATCAAATTAATAATTTTCTTTCTTTCTTTCTTTGCATTTATGTTTTGAATGAATTAATTTATTTGTATGAAGATCAATAAAATCATAAATTCTAGGCCATCAGATTTTGCATTATTAATTTTTTATTTAATTATTACATATTTTTATATATATATTGTATTATATACAAATATATTAAGTAAGTTCCCTTTCATGGGAACTTCGAACTGCGTCCTCTAGGGGTCGCTATGGGGAACGCCTCGTCGTGACCCGTGTCTGAAGCATACATTGATGGAAATCAAAAGTAGATACAGTATTGTTTAAAATTTTAAGTGGTAGAAAAATACAGTAAAACAGTAATATTGTGAAATATTGTTACAGTTTGACAGCTGTTTTCTATTTTAATGTATTATGAAATTTAATATATGTAATTAATTTATTATGAAATTTCTTCACTTCAGTCTCACGTTACTTCAGATATCATTCTAATATGCTGATGTAGTGCTTAAGAAACATTTCTCATTATTATCAATGTAGAAAACAGTTGTGCCGCTTAATATTTTGGTGAGAACTGTGATTCTTTAAATAGAAATATACAGTCTTCAATGAGTTTCCGTATTTGTGTGTGGGTGTGCATGTCTGGTGTAATTGTGAAGGCTGTTCACAGATCTCAGAGCACAGAAGAGGTGAAGGACACCAGGTGAATTTACCTCCAACCATCTGACCAAATATCAGACCCGCTGTCTCTACTGCCATCTCCCTCCCCCCTTCTCATTCTCTTTCTGTGTCTGTCCTGCTGTAGTGAGAGAGATGAAGGGACAGCCGAGAGAGACAGAGAAGGTGCTAGACTGTGTTTCAGAAGTGTAATTACCTGCTGTTGTGTGGCCCCCCTTTGTCTCTCTTTAGACAAAGGTTTCACTTGTGTGTCTGTGTGTAAAGCACTCTCAAGTCTGTAAGGGATTGTAAGCTGGCTTTATTTTGTATCAATAGAGGTGTAACTGGAATAAAACCATGTGGGTCAAGAAGCTACGATTGAACTGAGGTGGTCTTGAATACGAATAGATATAATCTTACCATTTTGTATGCAAAAATGAGAATTCTCTCTCTCTCATTGTGGCTCTGTCTCACTCTGTTTGCAGTGAATGTGATCCTGAAGGAGAGAAAGAGTAAAGACAGTATCACACTGGCCTGGCAGGGACCCGACAGACCAAACGGAGTCATAGTGGAATATGAAGTCATCTACTATGAGAAGGTACATCTAATCTCATCTCCTCTCCTCGCTTCTTATTCTCTCCTGTTTTATTTCCATCTGCACTACTCTAACAAGCAGAGTTATCATCCTCACACACAGATTACAAACATGCTTCTTTGACCTCCATTAAAAGCTGTAACGATTGCAGTTGTCCAGGCAGCCCTGGCATGTGTAATTGAGGGCTGAAGCATCATCGTGCCTTTGGGAATGAAAGCAATCAGTAGACCCTGTACGCCACAGCCGGCTGCTCACACATATACGCATAGCTCTTTAATTATAACGGGAGAATGAAACCAGGGTTGACGTCACTGATCAAAGAGAATACCTTCACTGAAACACAAGTGTATACACAGACTCTCAAACACATCCAGACTAAAGGAGAACGTGCACACACACAGTTGTTAATAAGTAATGAAATCAAGTCTGTGTGGGTTAAAGATATAGTCCATACAGAAATTAATGTCCAGTATTTTTGTTTTGTTTTGTTTAGAACCTGTTGTACACATTGAACAGGCTGAATAATATCCAACATTTAAAAGTTTTATTTTATTTTATTGAACATGTTGTACACATTGAATGGGCTGAACTCTTTGTATTTACTCTATTCTGAACTCTATTTGTTTATTTATTTTTTATTGACATCTCAGATCTGAGAGAATTGTATTAATTGATGGATGGATTTTGTTTGTTTTATTGAACCCGTACACATTGAACAAGCTGCACCTCATTATATCCAATATTGTATCTCAGTTTATTTTATGTTTTATATATTGACATCTCTGGTCAGAGAGAATACCTTCACTGTAACAGACCTGTACACACACACACACACACACACACACACACACCCAGACTAAAGGGGAGCATGTTGACACACAGTTGTTTATAAGTAATGCAACCAAAGCTGTGAGGCATAGCAATATACAGTACATCCAATAATTCCTATTATATTTTATTCAATACATAATAATAATACATTTAAATAAAATATTTATTTCAACAGTTTGCTTTTCTCTCCCCAACTCAGCCTCGTTTTCATTCCCGTCAATTTAAATATGACATCTCCTCTAAGATTTATTCTTAAGCTTTCAAAGCATACTGTCTGGTCACAGGCAAAAGTTTTGTTTTTTTACATCAATCCTGCACAGATGCAGTCGCACTGACCCAGTCTATTCTTTCACACATACTGGTTGCTGTGCGATTATGGAATGTCAGCTCAGACTGAATGCCCAGATGGGTGTCTGGCATTGGAGATCATGTGGTTAATGCTGTGTTTGTTGGAACTGGAACAATCCCACGCCCTCAGAAACAAACCTGCTCTGCCCTCCTACATTCTGGGTGTGGTGGACAGAGACCAAGTCTTTCCCAGAACCCATTTGGTTATGAGATGCTCTTTAATATTTGGAAGAGATTTATTTATTTTGAAAGGGGTTTTGGCTCCATTGCTGGACTGATTCAGTGACTGGTAGCTAGTGGCTGATTCCTTTTGTCCATTCTAGGTTTATATAATCAGTTTATAAGATCATATTGCAAGATTTTGTTAGACTTTTTTAGACTTGTGTACCTTGAATGCAAGTCGTTTTGGATAAAAGCGTCAGTCAAATGTGTGAATGTAAGTGTAATGCATAGCCAGACTGCTGGCTATAAGTCAGTATCAGTCAGCCATATCCAAACTAGCACTTTCAGCCAGCTCTTGCCATTTTTGTGTACAATATGCATCAGAGAATATGTGAATCTGCCATGTTAAGTGTTAGCTGGCAGTCTTGGTAATTACTACAAAATTAATCAACACACAATATTCATAGACTCACATTCACACACCACTGCAGATGTCTGACTCATGTAACTATAATCACACCAATAATCATGTCAAACAATGTAAATTAAAGCCTTTGCCTGGTCTGTTAGCACCCCAGCATCTGCCTCTATGAAGTGTACTGGCTACAGTGTTAACGTGCTGCTGAAATAATATCCTTCATTAATCCTCTTATGTCATATTCTACAGCACAGCCTCGAAATTCTGCTGTTCTACATGCTGCACATCAATGCTGCCACCCTGCCGTTTACCTGAAGCAGCTTTAACAAGATTGAATGGTTAACATTGTTAGCATAGCATTGCAGCAAGACTTAACAGAAGGCTTGATAACTTTTATAATTTCATACAGAAATGTCTGCTGAAAGAATTTGCAGAGAAAGTGTGATTTTAAACTGTTTGTCAGTATTACACTACCGTTCAAAAAGTATGTTATTCTGCAAGGATGCATTAAATTGTTTAAAAAGATCTATTTCAAATAAAAGCTGTTTTTTGTACTTTATATTAATCAAAGAATGAATAGAATTAATAAAATGAATAAAAAATGCATCATGGTGTTCACAAAAATATTACTTGGCACAACTGTTTTCAACATTGATTGTAATAAGAAATGTTTCTTAAACTCCAAATCAGCATATTAAAATGATTTTGGAAGGATCATGTGACACTTGAGGCTGTAGTAATGACTGCTGAGAATTTAGCTTTGTTTCACAGGAATAAATTATATTTTAAAATATATTAAAATAGAAATCAGTTATTTATCGTAATAATAGTTGAGAATATTACAGTTTTTTAACTCTATTTGTTGATTTTTAAAAAAATCCAGTTTTGGTAAGCATAAGAACATTTTCTTTCAGAAACATTTATATCAACTCCAAACTTTTGAACGGTAGTATAAGTGTTAGTAAAAAATTTCAAATCCGCAATAACATCTGACAGGAATGCTATTCAAGTCTAAATTTTCCATCATTGTCTGTCCTCAATCTCTAAATCCTACTAAACAAATCAATCTCACTGTGAGTGAAAGTGAATGTTGCTTTGTTTTTCCATTCCAGAACCAAAGAGACCAGAACTACACGGTTCTGAAGACCAAAGCCCACACAATGACAGTGGAAGGACTGAAGCCGGGCACCACCTATGTGTTCAGAGTGAGGGCTCGCACTGATGGAGGCTACGGCAACTACGGTGGGGAGATAGAGCTGGAGACCAGTCATGAGGGTAATGATTTTATACTTTTCTCAGCAGTTTTCTTTTTTGGGCATTTTAAAGGGATAGTTCACCCAAAAATGAAAATGATTTTTCATCATTTACTCACCCTCATGTCGTTCCAAACCTGTATGAGTTGCTTTCTTATGTCGAACATAAAATAATATATTTTGAATATTGCTGGTAATCAAACAGTTGGTGGTTGCCATTGACTTCCATAGTAGGAAAAAAAAAATACTATGGAAGTCAATGGCAACCACCAACTGTTTGATTACCAGCAATCTTCAAAATATCTTCTTTTATGTTCGACATAAGAAAGCAACTCATACAGGTTTGGAACGACATGAGGGTGAGTAAATGATGACAGAATTTTCATTTTTGGGTGAACTATCCCTTTAACCTCCGTTTTTGTATGAATTCTTTATTATGCCTTTTCTGTGTTTCCATGCAGTAGTTTCAGTTATTTCTAGATTTTTAGACACAAACATTGACAGCATTAAAAAGTGTGTGTACAAATTCTGTTCTACACTACCATTCCAAAGTTTGGGGTCGGTAAGATTTTTTTAAATGTTTTTGAAAAAGGCATTTATTTAATTCAATAAATGTATTGATTTGATCAGAAATACAGTAAAACAGTAATATTGTGAAATGTAATTATCATTTAAAACTTTAACTGTAATATATTTTAAAATGTCATTTATTCCGGTGATGGCAAAGCTGAATTTTCAGCAGCTATTACTCCAGTCTTCAGTGTCACATGATCTTTCAGAAATCATTCTAATATGCTGATTTGGTGCTAAAGAAACATTTTTATCAATGTTGAAAACAGTTGTGCTGCTTAATATTTTGTGGATTATTTGATTAATAGAAAACTTAAAGTGTGTGACTTATTTACCAAACCTCCTGCTTATGCTCATTGGGAGGTGAGCACTGTGTCACCATGTCTTGTGAGGACAAACAAGGCTATGTTGAGTCTATGTTTCTTTATGTGGATCAAAGAATGGAGGCACATTTTAAAAGGCTTTGGTGCATATGGTAAACACAGAGACCTTGTGGTATATGTACCTAATTTAAAGCACGTTACAGCCCAGCGAGCATCTCTGGAAGCATATCACAGAGCTCAGCGGACCTGATCTGCCAAGCTGAAAGTTAACGGAGTCCAGTATAGTAATTGCTCTTTTAATTATATGAGATATGCTTAAGCCTTTGGCTCACGGTGACATTCATAAACGGCTTACACCGCGTGCATTTGTTCATACAAGCATCAGAGCAGAACGGGCAGTACTGTAAATTGCATGCGTTTAGTCTGATAATGTAGAAAAATCCCTTTATGGAACCATTGGCTAGAAGTTAGGTTATTATCATTTGGAATTTATTTTAATAAAAAAAAAAAATTTATTTTACTTTAAACTTATCTTTGTAACTTTCACTTATTGTTAGTTGTAGTTTGCTTTTAATTTTTACAGAGTACTATAGTTGTAATTTATTTATTTTGTTAGGGCTGCTAAAGTTAATCTGCATTAATAGTATCTAATGGCATTTTCATGTTTAATGCAAGTTGGTTGTAAAGGTTTCCAGTTTTTTTTTATAAACCATGAATCTTGCTTGCCTTTTTCCCCCAGTCCTGTTCTTTCTGTTCTCAATGTCTTTTCCGATCATATCTCTCATTGTCCTGTCAAAATAAGTGTCAAAAAAGGGCAAAAAAAATCTTGGTATGATCGTATAGCTGTTATTCCTATTTAGCAAACTTCATGCGTCTGGTCCTGACCTGAAAGTTGCGATCTCTTTCTGCATGTGGTGAATAACTGAGATTTTAAATGGAGTTGAGTGGAATTCTAAATCAATTCCTGTTGCTGGAGATATTCATTTCCCTGTAAGAGGCGGTTACTCATGCATTGCCAGGCTTGATAAATGTTGTATTTGTTTTGAGTAATGAGTTGATTGCGGCAGCATAAAATCCATATACTCGCCATGAAACTTTCAAACCGTGCCTGTTATTCCCTCTATTAACATACCTATTTGGATGGCATGTGTAAATTAGAAAATTGACTTCTGCCTTCGTCTACATATTTAGTGGCCGAATGCAGCTGGTTCTGGTTTTTCAGAGCGAACCAAAGCAAAGTTTGACATTGAAGCTAAATATTTAACCCTCTTTGGGGTCTAAGATACCACATACTTAAAAAAAAAAAACATACTTTGTTGATAACATGTTCAAAGGTTTTCCGTGAAAGATGAAACATTACTTGTTTGGTATAAAACATGAATAGGCTAAATGCCATAAATTTTTCACAACCAATGTCACTATACTGCATAAAAATCAATATTTAGAAAAATGCAAGTCTACTTAAAACAGAAATAAACAAGCCTGTTTTAAAACAGAAGGTTAAAGTTTCAGTATTGTTTATTTTAGTTTTGTTGTTGTTCTTTTTATTATTAAATACGTATTTTTTATTTTACATAACAATAGTATTATTACAATAGTAATGTATTTCTTTATTGATTTGTTTAATATTTATCATTTAAATAATAAAATAATGTATATCAATAATAATAATATTAATAGTATTAGTATTATTATTATAGATGGGTGGGATGAATGTCTGAATATCTTTCTTGTGGGTTTTGATTACGTCGGAGGAACTCATTGGGGACTTCGAGGCCAAACAGAAAAAGAGTCAATCTCAAAAACAGAACATGAGGGTTAACATTAATGCAAATGTGTCTCTTTTTCTCTTCCTCCCTCTTTAGATATGCTGGCCATTGGGGACCCTAACCAGTCCACAATCCTTGCGGTGTCCGTAGCCGGTGGCATTGTGCTCCTTATCTTCCTGGTGGCATGTTTTGTAGTGAGCGGACGGTAAGAATAGTCTTCCTTTTAAGACCATCTGACCTTTGCTTCAGTCACTCTGTCCTTCTAAACCATCTTGGAGGAAGGTGTACTGGTTCTGAGGGCTGATATTAGAGAGCAAAATAAAACACTTCTGTTCGTTAGGTCTGAGAGCTGCTGTCAAATGGCGATTTTACAAGAAATTGAACCTTGAATTAGAAAATGAAGTGTGGATTCTTCCATGCCGAAGCATTTAAAAGAACTAGAACAACCCATACAGGCACTCGGTGAGGTGTGTCTTATAGGCTCCTAAAAACCAAGAAGAAAGCGTTTGAAATTGAAGTCTGAGGAGACATTTTGCACAGCATCTTTGCTATTCAAACAATATCTGAAGCAGAAAAGACGGTGCAGTCAGTTGGGTGAGACGTACTGAGCCTATAAATTAATGCTGATAATAAATATACTCTGACTGAATTAAATAGTGGTTTCTTTCTCGAACAAAGCTCGCCCGAAGTCTCTAAAAACATTAGCATTGATCTGAGGTGATTGCCTATCCTGCTGAGTGCCCTATTCAGTATTGACTAGAAAAGACCCATGTTTGCCTGCTGAGAGCATGTAGAAATGCACGTAATGGATTCATGTGCAACAAATAATTAATCTCAAACCACTCAACTATAAACCAAAACAATAAATATGTAAAATTGGAATATGCAAGACCAGAAAAAGTGGTGTAGTAGAGTGAAGAAGAAAGCGTTTGAAATTGAAGTCTGAGGAGACATTTTGCACAGCATCTTTGCTATTCAAACAATAGCTGAAGCAGAAAAGACGGTGCAGTCAGTTGGGTGAGACGTACTGAGCCTATAAATTAATGCTGATAATAAATATACTCTGACTGAATTAAATAGTGGTTTCTTTCTCGAACAAAGCTCGCCCGAAGTCTCTAAAAACATTAGTATTGATCTGAGGTGATTGCCTATAATGCTGAGTGCCCTATTCAGTATTGACTAGAAAAGACCCATGTTTGCCTGCTGAGAGCATGTAGAAATGCACGTAATGGATTCATGTGCAACAAATAATTAATCTCAAACCACTCAACTATAAACCAAAACAATAAATATGTAAGACTGGAATACGCAAGACCAGAAAAAGTGGCGTACTAGAGCGATTCTCGACAGGTTTTACTCACAAGCCAGTGCAGCTTCATGCATTTCCAGTTAGAGCTCTCTGTCCGGAGTGAAAGCTGGAAAAACAGAATGTGTTGATTGGTGCTCCTCGGATAACTGTAAAAGAGGAAGACAAAAGTGGTGAAGAACAGAAAAAGAGAAGGATGGGCGATTTGTGAAAATGGCTAGTAGTCTCATGTTTTTAGCTCTAATATTTTTAGGGCCAGTGTTTGAATTTTTTTAAATGGAGGATTTTGGAGAGGATTTTGACAGTGTGTTGTCTTTACTGTGCTGTTGGACTGTCAGCACATCAGACTCTTTCAGAGGTGTTGCATCTCTAAATTCCTCTCCTTTGAGGTGTCGTAAGAAATTCAGTGCCTTTAACAATACATTTCAACACAATTACTGTCAGATTTCAAATCGCCTGCTTTGAGCAATTTTCCTGGCAATGCTCATCCGTATGGCTGAGGGTTTTTGTGCAGACTGATTTGTTTTGTTGTTTAGTGCATTTGCTAAATATTTGTCTTCTTGCATTCAGTCTGTGCTATTTTTGTAAATATTGGTCTACGAATATTAACTTTCAAAAGTTTGGGGTTGGTGTTATTTTTTTAAAAGAAATTAATTCTTTAATTCAGCAAGGATGCATTAAATTGATCAAAACTGACAGTAAAGATTTACAAAATAATCTATTTCAAATAAATGCTGTTTTTTTTACTTTCTATTCATCAATGAATCGTGAAAAATTTTCAGTTTCCACAAAAATATTAAGCACCACAACTATGTTATACATTAATAATAATACGAAAGGGTTCTTGAGCACCAAATCAGCAGCATTAGAATAATGTTTCAAGAATCAGCAGGAATCACTGTTGAATTAAATTTTTTTTGTAATAAACTGTATTAAAATAGAAAGCAGTTATTTAATTTGTAATAATAATTCTCAATATGTTTACTGTACTTATTGAGCATAAGAAACTTCTTTCAGAAACATTAAAAAATCTTACCGACTTTTGAACGCTGTTTTGTTGCATCTTGTGCTGTTTTTAAGAATCTTGTACATTTATTATATTTAAATTGCCATGTCATGCTAAAATAGCTCAACTTAAATGGTAGACATGACCATAATATGACCATAATATTAGGCCTAATTAAATAGGGCTTACATAATCATTCAGACGTACTGTTGTAATGTGTTAGAAAAACTATACTGTAGACTCTCTAACATACTGCACATATACAGTCTTTCCCACAAATTTGAGGCCCCCAAATGTATTTGTATTATTCTGCCATGTGCAGGTTTGCCAGAAGATTATACCTTTGGCTACAGGCCTCAGGCATAAGTCTCCACTGTAACACAGCTGTCTGACATACTATAGAAAGATTATGCAAACTGCATCGTTCTTCAGAGAGAAGTCAGACCTCAATAACCCCTGCCAGCCAGCTATATGTCCTCAAGCTGAACTGTTGGCTTACTTTCAAACATTGAGAATAGTTTCATTCCATGCAGCTCAGGATTTCAGGGCGAGAGATCAAACAACATAATCACCTCACTGCTCCTCATGTCTTGGTCTGCTAAAATCCCACTTGACCCGTTGAGTCCATTTTGTTTCCTCTTGCCATTAGGTCTTTATAGCTGCCAAGTATATCCATCTTTTTCATAAGAATCACACCAGGGAGAAAGAAAGAATGAGGAAACAAATGACGAGTGAACGAATGAGTGAACGAACAAACGCATAAACAAGCAAACAATTGAATGAAAGAATGAGCGAAATAATAAACAAACATTAAAAAACAAACAAGTGAACAAACAGTAGCAGAGTGGCTGGTTAGACTTGCAGTATTCAGCTTGTTTTACTTCATTATTTTCTGACTCTATTCCCCATACTCCTCTTCTCTCTCTCTGTTTCTTTCTCTCTCTCTCTCCCTCCCTCCCTCCCTCCTTCTCCCTTTTCTGTCAATATTTTGCTAAAGCTACGGCACCGTTAGCATATTTTTGTACTTCACCTGGCTCACAGAGATTTATTTAGAGATTTTAACATCAGCATTGCCTGTTCCACCGCTATAATTCGTGTAGCCTACAAGAAAGACTGAGGCTGGGATCTATGCTTTAATATAATCGTTTGAAATACAGCTAATTAGAGTCATTCCCCTTGTTGAATGAAAATAGGCAAGCATGATTAGCATACCATAAAAATGCTAATGCTACCATAATCAAATTCTCAATAATAAAACTATAAGTGCACTGGTTAATAGAAATAAAGTTTTAGTTGGAGCCATTAGCGCACAAGCTATTCCTTTCTCTTCTTTCCATTCGCCACACTTTTTGTGTGAATAAAATAGCAGCTGAGATCAAAATAAGTAAATAAATAAATAATGCTATTTTAATTTGCTTGTTCAGTGCACCAGGGACTTGCATTGGCTGACAGAATACAGAATATTTGTGGTCTTGTATATGGACAACAGGAGAAACTGGCATGTGTTACAGCAGGCAGATGGTGTTCAGTCATCAAATTCGGACAACTACATTTTTTTTTTAAGTCTGTTTCCCTAAAAAGCAATTAAAACATGGCAGGTGGGTGCTAACGGCTGGGAAACTCCAGCAAGTTTAGCTCTTCAACTTATTAAACATCACAGCTGCTCTCATCATTGCCAGACAATTATTTTTGTTTTCAGCTTATGAGAAAGTTGGAAAATCTATTTTACTCCCATGCATGTCTAACTCTCTCTATCCTTTAGAATAATCTCTTTTAAGCCGTATCCTACACCGTATGCTTCACATGCCAATATTTGTCTTTTAATTACATTTTTAATATTTTCCGCTGCATGCAAATCAAGCAAGCACATTATTTTTTAAATAATTATCAATAGCTACTGTATTTTTTAAAAATATTCAATAAATTAGTCATATGAATTGCACTATTATGCATCTCAAAGCTGGACTCATTGATTTTCCATCATTTAAATAGTTGAGGAATAGTTCAGGCAATAATGAAAAAATCAGGCCATCCAAGATGTAGACGAGTTTGTTTCTTCATCGGAACAGATTTGGAGAAATTTAGCATTGCATCACTTGCTCACCAGTGGACCATCTGCAGTGAATGGGTGCCGTCAGAATGAGAGCTCAAACAGCTAATAAAAACATCACAATAATCCACAAGGAATCCACAAATTTCCATTTCCTTTAAGGTGTTTTAACTTTAAATCAACTAAGTTAATTGTACTTTTAACAAATGTTTAAAATTGTATAGTGAATTGTTCGTGGCCTACATATTTACTATATGGGGTAGGCCTCATGGGAGCACTATTATTGGACACTTTTGGAATAAATTAATTGAGGAAAATAAAGCATTCCTACAATGGCATAAGTAACTGTAACCATTGAAAAGTATTTACATGATGATGATTTCCCAGGCATGTCTAGTTAAAAGTGCATGCTTGTTCTAGAGAAAACAAATTGGGATTTTAATTCCTAGAGCTGCCATATTGTGCATCATGATTTTTCCCATTCGTTTTTTTCCCTCCTTATAATGTCTCTGGTCCACCTTTAAGTGTATACTGTGTGTTTAAACCACTCTACCCCCTTTTTCAGATATAGTCTGTCATGACAGTGGAAATACATTGGGGTTCTACAAGAGATCATTCACTTATCTCCTTGATAATGCTAGTATGGCACAGATGGATTTGTCTCTGTAATAAAAGATGAAGTGCACAGGAAGATTTTCAAGTCGATCTAATCAGAGAGAGGCAGCAGCTCTTTGTCAATGAGATGTTATTTTCGAAGCATCTGCTATAGGCCTTGGGTTATTCTTAAAACTTAATGATGACAGAAAAGTGTGCTTCATACACTTACTCACTCTCATCATGCAAATAGAACGTTTCCCCCAAGAACCTAAAGCTGAGAGCACTTCATGCTCTCAAACATGTTTTCGATAATTTTCATCCTCCTATTATCTGTCAAACAGGTTGTTGCGCTGCCATGTTCATAATGGATTTCTGCATGAAATGTTCCGTTTTACCTCAAGTGTGCTTGCGTATGGTAACATCGGATGACATCTTTGATTGGCCAAATGGCACCAATTTAACAATTTGGCTCTTTGTTTTTCTGCCCTGGTACAAATGCATCTGTGCTGCTAGTAGACTCACCAAAGCACCTCTCCGTGCCTGAAATTGTAGCACAACAGACATAATGACGTTTTAGAGCCAAAACTACTTGGAAGAGCTGTCCCATTTTAAAAGCTGGAATGGTGAACAAGAGCTTCATAGGAGCTTGGTTTCCAAGTCTATAGCCAGCGGGCCCTTCTCAGTGCATTCTCATTTGCACAGACATGTGCAAACACATGCACACACATACTTCTCACGTTTATCCAGAGGTGTAATGGTTCTCCCATCCTCTTAACGTGATGAACTAGCCTCTCACCGCAATATACTCGCTGTGTGTAAAAGCACTCTTTGGCAGCGGTGCCGCTACTAATAATTGTTTCAATAGGATGGATGGCACTATAGCTCAGTTCATTTTGAGCGGTGTGATATCAGTAGCGACTGAGATATCGCACGGTCAGCATAAAACAGAAGTAAACACTGAGATAATGAAAGCAAAGCAAGCTGCCGCCTGTCAAGCACAATTATACAGGAAGGGAATCTTAAACCTCTTGCTAGGAAAGAGGTGACAGGCCATGTACTGTAGTACTTTCCTCAGAAAACTTTGCTGAGACCAACAGAAGAAAGTTAGGTGTAGGTTATGGCATTAGAAATGTGACTGGTTATGATTGGTTTTCAGAGTTAATGTTATTAATAATAATAATAATAATAATAATAATTGTATTATTATTATAGAATAATAATTATTCTATAATAATTTTATTATTATAAAAATAGCATTATTATGATTTATGAAAATATTTATATTATTGTGATTATTTATGTTGTTGTTATACAGTTTTATATATAGTGGTTTTATAACTATTATTATTATTAATTATACAAGTATATTAATATACAAATATTATAAGAATAGTATTATTATACTTTATGAAAATGTTATATTACTATTATTATTACCTGATTATATTACTACTTATATTATTGTTGTTATTATACAGTTATGCAGTTTTATATAGTGCTTTTGTTAATATTATTATTTTTTTTCAATTTGGCATTATAAATATAATAATAATAATAATAGCAATATTTTTTTAAAGAATTAACTATTTTAAAGATTGTTTTCATAATTAACTGAATAAATAACCTTTCACAATTTGTATCCTTAGTATTTGTTATTTCTAATTAAAAGTCAACCAAAATGAACTTGCTATCAGGCTTAGTCTAATTTACACTGTCGTTTTTCACCTAAACAAAGGCATGCACTTTCATTTTCTTTGGGTCGATTAGCAAATGAGAGTTTTATTACATGCGTGGCCCCTGCATAGATTAGGGCGACACTAGTCATCATGTCAGAGGTTAAGACTCCTTAATTAATTGGATTCTGACTGCTGTACTGAATCAAACTAATAAAAAGCGGCTCTCAAATATAGGATCATTATCACTGCAATTTTCTCTCCTGCATTCTCAATTACTGTAATGAATCGTTAACAAATGAGATGTTTCTCCACACCGATCAGAAACACATCCTGGAATTTAGCACATATCTCAATTTAATCTCTTCACTCCACTAATAATGAGTTTGGCTGGAGTAAATTTTTTTTATTTTTTTTTTAAATAGCAAGCACAGGCCTTGGAGGTCTGCCAGGTCTCCTCTAACAGAGAAAGGAGCCAAGAGAAAGTAGCTTAAACGAGGGACGAGCATTTTGTTTCGCATTCATTCTGGCTATCTGTTATTGCTTGATAATGTAATGACCGTACGGTTCAGCATCGACGGCTCCCGTGAGCTGGAGACGTGGGTGACGCTGATTGCCATTAATCTGAAGAGCCACTCTGCTTGATGAAAGCGTTAGGGAGGCATTTCTCTATCCGTCTCCATCCTATTAGCACTGTGGCAAACACAGCGAATGATTAGAAATCGTCTGATCTTTGAAAAAAAGCCTGTCGTTTATGCTAATCAGCCCTGCTGACAGCCACTGCGGGCCAAAACGTTCCCTCACCAAAAATATGGAACACTGTGGAGAGCCTCTCTGTGCATCTCTTTCGGCTTCATTTTCAATGTTTCGAGACTAATATTGTACAGACACCGTGTTGTTGTAACTTCCCTTTTGTTCTGCATTGTGTGTGGTGTAGATGTTCTGAAGCCCAGAAACAAATCCCATATTTCTCTCCCTCTCTCTTTCTTGGCGTGACAGTAGTGAACAAAGGGTTCAGAACAAAGTGCTGTCATTTGTTGAATTTCTTCATTACTGAATGTTGTAATCAGTAATAGAGATTTACTTTGTTTCTAACTTCAAACACGGACACTGCTGTCTAATCTGAATTATACCAAAAGCACTTTGCTTCCGATGTTAACGATGTATAAATTCAGCTTATTATGCAGCTGTCTTCAAAATTAAAGTTCAGCGGTATTCTTTGCAGTTAGGTTCAAATCTTCTTGTTAAGCATTATTTTTCATTTTACCTTTGAGTTATATGGGCTGTATAGAACTTTAGAGTGTAATTGATGTGAAATTATAGGTTCTTTAGAACAGCATGCAGTATTCACCCAAAACATGAAAGTCGGTTATTATTTACTAACTCTCTTGTCGTTGCAAACCTGTATGGCTTTCTTTCTTCCGTGATCTTTCTTACACAAAATATATATATATTTTTTTTTTGGTCCATACAGTGAAAATCAGTGGGGTACAGTGTAGCTTTGGACCCCAGTGACTTTAACTGTATGGGCAAAAACAGCTGAAACATTTTTCAAAATATCATCTTTTGTGTTTTGCTGAAGAAATTAAGTCGTACAGGTTTGGAATGGCATGAGGGTGAGTAAGTACTGACAAGTAATTAGGCCTGGGCCAAAAAAAAAAATCGATTTTCCGATTAATCATTTTTTTAAATGACGTCGATTCGATATCGATTCTCAAAAGCCGCGAATCGATCTTTTCCAGTATTTATGCAGTGCAGTGCACTGTTTTGTTTACTACACATATACTAAAGCGCGGATGAGGCTCGCGGTGTTTTCAGCTTCTGTCGTCTCACTATATGATGATATGAACACGAATGTCATCTCCAGCTGCTCCATAACTCAATACAATGCAAAACTATTGTTTATAAGAAGGGTTAAACCTTATAAGCATTAATTTATAATGCTGCAAAGAACCATTGAAGAACCTTTATTTTGAAGTTGCATTTATATCTGGTTAATATCTGAAACACTATCTTTCAGAAATCATGACAATATTTTAAATTTATGGGTGGGTGAACTAACAAATGAAGCATCAGAACTTCATTATTTCTAAACGCTTTTAAAATAGGTTCTTTATTGGCATCTGTGGTTCATGAAGAACCTTTAACAACCGTGGAAGCTTTCCATTCCACAAATTTTTTTTTTTTTTTTTAAGAACCAAAAAAGGTTCTTCTATGCCGTTGCCGCATGCTTATTGTCAAATGAAAGCTAAGGTTGGTCACCTCCCGTTTTAATGCTGTGGAAAACACAAGGTAATCAAACAAGCAATTAAGCATTATGGGAGGAAATAACTTCATGTTGTGCCCTTCGCAGGCTCCTTTCAGGTTTTACAGCTCTTCCTCAGCCCAGACGCACGCCATACAGGAAGTCAACATTTAAGACCACCTGCCATTCATCACTCTGAGTTGAGGAGAATGTTTTAAAGGTGGAAAGGTGCAGTAGAGAAGGTCAGCGTGGAGGTCAGATGTGTGTATTTTGCAGAAGCCTACGATAAACATCCATGTTCGTTTGAATAAAAATCAAGGTTAAAAAGGAAGTTTCAAGTTTATAATAAACTGACTGATATTTCAAAGGGTCATCACTTTGATTACTTATTAGATGAATGGAATGCCAGGAGGATAGAGGAGAACCCTGACCCGTCCTCCTATTTATGTAGCCCGCTTGCACCAAAACGTCTAGATCAACTCTTCTGAATATCAAGAAAGCCTGCTTGTCATATGAAATATTTCTCATTATACAGCTTGTTTGTCGTCATTTGTCTAAAGTTTGAATTTTGGGAAGGTTCAGTCAAGGTTGAGAAGTTCCTTTGTGTCTTTCCAGCCTTTGAACTTCCGTTAGATTCACATTTAAATTTGAGACTGTTTGGTTTCAAAGCCTTCCCTGTACATCCATATTTACTCAGTTTTAAGGTATCAAACTCTCTTCTAAAGGCATCTTGGCAAAAAAGAAAATGCAGAGGAGAAAGTCCCCTTCCATTTGATCACACCGACGTCTTTGTCTGACCAGTGTTCTTGTTCCTAAAGAAATTCTGTTTTGGGGAGAGCCGTTTTCACACCAGACACCTCGCAGAGATGGGGGAATCAAAAAGCGCCTTAGTCAGCTCAGCGCTCAGGGTAGAGGCTGATGGGAATGGGCTCTACAGCTTTTCTGGTTCCTGTTACATTGGATCACTTTCTCTCCAAGTCTCATTTCAGTAGCGTTAGTATGCTGCAGCCCAACTGAGCGCTCTGAGCAGAAAGCACATTGTCAGCACAATCATCAGCCCTGCTCCAACTCAAACCCACAAAGAGTGTCAAGATGTAGATGTGAAAATATAGCGAGAGAGATGAAGGGAGAAGGGAGAGGAGAAACGATGGAGATGGAAGTTCCAAAAAGTGAAAAGGTCAAATAAGAGAGAAGGAAATAATAAAAAGAACTGAAACATTGTGCAATATGCATAAAATGGCATAACAAGTCGTTGTATTCCTACTTGCATTTTTATTTTTTGCAAGAAGTCACTTATGTTACCAAGGCTGCATTTATTTGATCAAAAATGCAGCGATATTGTGAAATATTATTACAATTTAAAATATTGTTTTCTGTTTTCATACTGTACATCTGCTTCCTGTCATTCTTTTGATGACAAAGCCGAATGTTGTTTCATGATCCTTAAGAAATAATTCTAATATGCTTATCATTATTATTACGTTTGAATAAAAATCAAGGTTAAAAAGGAAGTTTCAAGTTTATAATAAACTGACTGATATTTCAAAGGGTCATCACTTTGATTACTTATTAGATGAATGGAATGCCAGGAGGATAGAGGAGAACCCTGACCCGTCCTCCAGTTTCTGTAGTCCGCTTGTACCAAAACGTCTAGATCAACTCTTCTGAATATCAAGAAAGCCTGCATGGCATAACAAGTCGTTGTATTCCTACTTGCATTTTTATTTTTTGCAAGAAGTCACTTATGTTACCAAGGCTGCATTTATTTGATCAAAAATGCAGCGATATTGTGAAATATTATTACAATTTAAAATATTGTTTTCTGTTTTCATACTGTACATCTGCTTCCTGTCATTCTTTTGATGACAAAGCCGAATGTTGTTTCATGATCCTTAAGAACAGTTTTAAGGTATCAAACTCTCTTCTAAAGGCATCTTGGCAAAAAAGAAAATGCAGAGGAGAAAGTCCCCTTCCATTTGATCACACCGACGTCTTTGTCTGACCAGTGTTCTTGTTCCTAAAGAAATTCTGTTTTGGGGAGAGCCGTTTTCACACCAGACACCTCGCAGAGATGGGGGAATCAAAAAGCGCCTTAGTCAGCTCAGCGCTCAGGGTAGAGGCTGATGGGAATGGGCTCTACAGCTTTTCTGGTTCCTGTTACATTGGATCACTTTCTCTCCAAGTCTCATTTCAATAGCGTTAGTATGCTGCAGCCCAACTGAGCGCTCCGAGCAGAAAGCACACTGTCAGCACAATCATCAGCCCTGCTCCAACTCAAACCCACAAAGAGTGTCAAGATGTAGATGTGAAAATATAGCGAGAGAGATGAAGGGAGAAGGGAGAGGAGAAACGATGGAGATGGAAGTTCCAAAAAGTGAAAAGGTCAAATAAGAGAGAAGGAAATAATAAAAAGAACTGAAACATTGTGCAATATGCATAAAATGGCATAACAAGTCGTTGTATTCCTACTTGCATTTTTATTTTTTGCAAGAAGTCACTTATGTTACCAAGGCTGCATTTATTTGATCAAAAATGCAGCGATATTGTGAAATATTATTACAATTTAAAATATTGTTTTCTGTTTTCATACTGTACATCTGCTTCCTGTCATTCTTTTGATGACAAAGCCGAATGTTGTTTCATGATCCTTAAGAAATAATTCTAATATGCTTATCATTATTATTATTATTATCATCATTATTATTAATACTGAAAACAGCTGTGCTGCTTAAATCTAAATAAGTATAAAAGTGATAAAATAAGACGAATAGTGATGACTAGTTAAAAAAAAAAATCTGTCATTATAGTTATTTGTTGCCAACACTTTCTTTCACTTAGGATTCTTCTTATAAAGGTTAATTTTTGAAAATGTTTTCTGTATAGTCAAAGTGATTAAAGGCCGGGTGCAGTGAAGCTCCAAAATGACCAAAAAAGTCCAAATAAAAAATTGGTCCAAATGATTCATGCATTATATTCCAGGTTTTCTGAGGCAATGCGATAGCTTTTTGTTATATAAAAAAAGTGAACAAATCATTCAGACGGTTCTGTGAACAATCAATTCATTGGAAATATTATACTCAGAATGATTAGTTGATGAATCAGATATCCTTACTTCTAATATGAAATCTCATGAACATGTCAACAAGAGCTATGTTGGATGTCAAGATTCTGACAACTTAAATTTCTGTCTGTTCATCACACAAAGCTATTGAATGGCTTCAGATGACTGATTTGAATGGACTTCTTTTATGATGCATTTTGGCAAATGAGTGGCCAGGATATTGTTTAAAAATTAAAATCATGGAAGAAAGTAAGTCATACAGAATGACATGAAGGTGAATAAATGATGACAGAATTTGCATTTTAGGTGAACTATTCTTGATAGAAGCAATGGTATATGGTCTGCAGGACAGAAAGCTGGAAGCCGTCATGAAGAACGGCGCTCATGTGACAGCATATTAGACCGTGAAGGTAAATTGATATGTAAATTGAGTGTGCGACTCAGAGAACGAGGAAATATGAACCTGAAATGTGCTAGACCTTCACATAGAGCGGGAACATCTTTTTTCTCCCGTCAGCAAAGTACAATAGCATACCCTGGTGTAGCGAACATCTCGTATCTGTCTCCTGTGTGACAGAATGTTCCAGAGAAAGAGAGCAAGAGTGCATTAGGCAGCACAAAGTGATTTGTCCTCATGGTGTCCAGGCTGTACTGAAAGAGCAGAGGTCTTGCTGAACAAAAGCAAGCAGTGTTCACTCATTTATTGGAGGAACACTGGAAGATTGGAGTCGTTCATCAGGATGATGCTCACTGCTTTGTTCTTCAAGGAGAGACATTTTGTCAATATAAGATGCTCTTTTTCTCATTAGATTTCTGAGAGGCCTGTCAGCCATACAGACATACAGTGAGAACAGCTTCATAAGATTTGTGGTCCTCAATATCCGCATACACACTCTATGTAATGGAAATGTATGATAGCTATTGTCATATGCAGCATAGAATGCTCACGTTTTCATTTCAAAGCAGAAACTGATTGTAGAAACTATGGGAAACATCCTATTATTTGAACATGACTCTGACTTTATTGGCTTTCTATGACAAATACAGTTATATTGTGGGTTATACAATAGGATGCCTGTACAGCTAATAACTAACTAACTAATCTTTTTTTTTAACTTAGAAAAGTTAAAAATTTGCAAGTTTTCTGTTTGATATAGTATTATTTTGATGCTCCAATAAACACATTATTTGATAATGAATAATAGCTTAATTGATCTTAATAGTTAGGATGGTTTTGGTTAGAGTTCAAAATTTAAACGAAGATTTGACTCAGTTTCAATTCATGAAATTGTATTGAATTTGTAAATTGAACACAGGTCTGTCTATCTATCTATCTATCTATCTATCTATCTATCATACATTTGTTTGTTTGTTCACTCATTTGTTTGCTTGTTCATTCTGTTGTTTGTTCTATCTAACTTTGTTATGTTCTGTCTTTCTGTTGTTTGTTCTGTTGTTCATTCTGTCGTTCTTTCGTTCATTCTATTTATCGAGCCATCGTTCTATTGTTTGTTCTGTCTATTGAGCTGTTGTCCTATTATAATATAGTTATGTCATTCTATTTATTGTTTTATCAGTTGGGTATGTGTGTGAGTGAGGTGCGCTTGCCAAAGACAGAATCATTCTCACTCTTCTCTACCACGCAATCACAGCTCCAGCCTGCCAACTCGCCATGGCTGGGCTCCTGTGACCCTGGCATGGGCGGCCCCTCTCCTCATCATTACTGCCAAATTAAAAGCCAGAAGCCTCCAGCTCATCTGTCTCCCTGCTGCCGACTCTTATCACGAGCTCGGCCGCTCCCTCGCCGTGCCAAACGGAGAGCACGCTTATTACGGACGCCTTGGAACTCACCCCAAACCAATTATAATCAAAAGATGATTTTAAAATGTACTAGTCCTTGATTGTAATGAGAGAGTTCTACATTTTCTTCTCAGATTAGCTGTGAGGTTGTTTGGTTTTATGGTGCAGTCGTGTCTTGGCATTCATTTGGACTCAAAATCATATGTGGTCTTTTTTTTTTTTTTTACTGCAGTGAAATTGCCAGGAAGCAGAACATACATTCACCCCCACACTTACGAGGACCCAAATCAAGCCATCCGGGATTTTGCCAAGGAAATCGATGCCTCCACTATACATATAGAGAGAGTTATAGGTGCAGGTGAGAGTCTTATTCTTCTATAGATCAAATTGTGGAAAGAAAATGAAAATAAAACAGTACTGAGTCACAAATATACATTATGCAAATTGTGTCAGTGTAGCTCCTTAAATATTGAGGATTGTTCACTTCATGAAACGTTTTTAAGTGTTTTCAGTGTGTAAGCGCAGTTGTGTGCTAATGTATGTTAAAAAAAACAGTGGTTTCTATTTGAGTCCTAATCATAGAACATCTGCCGACTGTAAGCCTCACACACAAAGCTGTTGTTTGAAATACTGAGCTGTTAATACCGCATATCTCTGCGTCTGAACTTTGAAAGCTTTGAAATCTCATTTTCCTCAGTGTATGCTTTCTCTGTCCGTGAGTGTCTGTTTCTCCATTTTTCAGACTTTTTTTGTCTTTTATCCTGGTTCTTTATTTCTCTGTCTCATTTCCTATTTCTCTTCATCTAGTTGCAATAGTGTGCAATAGAGTTCTTTAGGGCTTTAGGAGCTCTGAATTAAACGATGCCATGGAGAAATATTGTTAGATTCTTTGCGTGAGAATAGGACACACGTTTAACCCAAACATGTTTGGCTGAAAAAAAAATTGGGTTTATATATAATATATATATAGGCTGCTAAAATGTATAATTGATCTTTGTCCCTGGTAATTAGTTTTCTACAAAGCTGTTCTAGGTTTATGTTTCTCGTATCACTCCACCATCCCTTTCTTCTCACATAATAACATTAACATTCAAAAGAACAATTTTTGTCTTGTTTCTCAGAAACAAATATCTAAACATCCTTAAATTGTGTACTTGTATAAATTATTTTCTTATGCTTTTAAATGCTTTTTTCAATAATAAACCTTACTAACTTTTGTATTTATGATTTAAAAAACTGTTCTGATGTGGTCAGAAAATGAACTAAAATAAAGAAATATTAAAATATAATCTCTAATGTCTTAATATGTTGTAATATCATATGCAGAAAATATATCTAGTTTTAAGAATGTTAATATTTTTTCACTGGAAAACAAGACAGAAATATGATTGATTATATGCAGTATAAGCTGGATAATGTATCTGGACATTATCGCAAAATTAACCCCTTCAGGGTGATAACACATTCACCGTTTCAACAAAAGAAAGTCAGCTCAGTATTTTCTCCTTATACACCTCAATAGCAGCAGTATTTTTCCTCAGAAGACATTTTTCCTAAAAAAATCTTAAACTTGGAATTGTATACACTAAAATGAGCACAGTCACAGTGTCCAGGCAAGAGGATTTTATTTATGCATATTTTCCTTCATAAATCTGCTGTAGTCTGATGCTGATGTGCTGATGATGGCCGTGTGTCGCTTTGCCAGGTGAGTTTGGTGAGGTTTGCAGTGGCCGTCTGAAGCTCCCCAGCAAGAGAGAAATCTACGTGGCCATCAAAAGTCTAAAGGCAGGATACTCAGAGAAGCAGAGGCGGGACTTCCTGAGCGAGGCCAGCATCATGGGCCAATTCGACCACCCCAACATCATCAGACTGGAGGGAGTCGTTACCAGATGTAAGTGACTGACATGTACACTCGTCTTCACCTTCACCCTCACCCAATGGCTTTTAAATGACGGATTGAAAAGTTTAAGTAAGTAAACGTACACTGCATTGTAAGCACTGAGGGAAAAATAAGCTGTTCTCAAAAGTGCTTTCAAAAATCATTTTGCAGGGATTCAATTGCACAGTTGAGTTCTTGGCTCGGTACACTTTTTATACAGCATGGCTGAATAGCACAAGTGTGACAATATATGATTATTGTGACTACACCAACAACCCTTTTCCGCCACAGCGGTCACAAAGTGTTTTCATGGCGTTGTGATTAAGAGCCAGATGGAGGTGTGCTGTACTCACTGCCGTGCTCAGCCTTGGGGAGGACAGAAACAGAGCTCGACTGTTCCACCTGAATGGCTCTGTTGAGTTGGATCCAACCACACAAGAGGATTGGAAGACAAAGACTCGCTACAGCAGATGTATTACAGAGCAACCCTAGATTCCCGCTTTAAACATGACTAAACAAATTATCTCTAGAATTAAGTTTTCATTTGGAAATGTTTGGCTACAAAAGTAAACCGAAGTACAGTATTAAATGACTAATAAAATTGGCACTTAACTTGTCCCCCACTGTTTGTGCTACAGACAGTTCAAGTGACTTGTTGAGGAGAGGTCTTCTATTGCTTTTCTAAACAACTGGAATTATGCTTTTCATCTGGTAGATGATAAATATGTAATTTAAAAAAAAAATGTAACTCCTAGAAACTGCCCAAAAAATCCTAGCAGACATAAGAACTTGCCAGAAACCGCTCAGAACACCCTAGCATTGCAGTAGATACAGAGATAGACTTACACTGTGTTATGTGTGTTAGAAACCTTTCAGAATCTCATTATCTCATCAGTAATGGGGGAGAGCTTATCGGAGAACTTCAGCTTTCACCAGATGCCAAACAAAAACCCTTTCTTTCGAGCGTCATTATGACTGAACAAACGTCTGCGGCTTCGCACTACCTATAGAGCACAACAATGAGAGAATGCATATTTATGACTGCATGAATATTAATAATTTAAATAGTTAATTGGAAGTGTTTTAACTGTCATAAATATTCAGCAGCACACATATGAACAGCGACGTCTCGACATGTCTTATTCATTTTTTCCGCTCTGTTCTCTCTAATGTGGAATGCTAATTTTGACCTTTTGTTCGTATTGGTTTGTGCAGTTTACAGAACTATTTTCTCCGTAAATCGAGTTTGCGTTTCATTTTGAAAAGGCAGACTCTGCCTAATTGCCTGTCCTCCAGTTATAAGTGGTGTATTTATGTTCTGAGCAAATATCAGGGGCTCGGGGTTAAAGCTCAGTTCAGTATCTCTCGGAGTACGCAGATTCTTTGGAAGAACAAAGTAGAGGTTTAAGTGAGAGTAATGCATTCAACATTAGGCTGCACTCTGACCTCTGTCTTCGTGGAATAGACCAGTCCTCTGTTGGAATCTAAAATAAGCCCACTTTTGACAGGGTGAAAGAGAGTTTAGGGGAAGATGCAGAGAGGAAATATCTGACATTCTTAGGAAAAAAAAACAAACAAAAAAAACATGAGGGGTTATAAATGTACAATTCTGCTCCAGTGTAATTATAGTTACTAAAATTAAAACTAAAACAATTAAAAATCATTTTCATTATCTGAAATAAAATAAGTGAAATAAAATAAAATATTTTAAAAAGTTTTATTTAATTTTTTTTAAATTTTAGCTAGTTTCCAAGGCAACCTTTTTCATTTTTATTTATTTTAACTTGATGTACTAAAATAACTAAAACTAAAACTGAAATAAAAATTAATAAAACTATAGACATATGGGGGAAGAAACAAAACTGCTAAAAATGACAAAAACACACAAAAAAAACTTTATCTAAAATTAAAATGAGAATGGAAAATAAAAATATTCATAATCTCAATGTATCTCAATGCTAAAATAACACTGTTCTGCTCATATGTTTACTAATTTTAGAATCTGCAAGATGCTTGTCATTTAAAAAAGAGATTTTTATAAGAGAAAACATTTTTATTTAGCTCTCTGATGAAGCTATTTCAGATATTTACATATAAAAACTGAATTTACACAATTTATGTCATGTTTTCTTATAATTTGTGATTTAAATTTTGTCTTGTGGAATATACTTAATTATTTTAATTTTAACATGTAGAATTTAATATTTTTTATATATATATATATA